GCAGCAACAATTTCGTCGATGGGTGTTGGGTTTTACATTTCATCATCAAATCCAATTTCCTCCATTTCATAAAGTTCGTGCTCCTATTGTGGCAGTCAAAGGCACGACTTTGGGTCGTGTATGCTTCAATTTTCGAAATTCTTTACGTTGGTGGAATCCAAGTTGGAACCCTGTGTGTACTTGTGCTCAATTTCCAGTACATGTGCAATGCAAATTGCGTTCTACTACGCATATTTCATGTTTTGCTGCTGACATTGCCGATTGCCCTCTTTTCGCTGCACATATGGAGGATGAACTGCTTCCGACAAAAGCAAATTTCTTGTCCCATAATACTCAAGCCTTTGAACGTTTTCTTCAACAATGGCGATTACCGTCAGGGTTGATCCAATATTGGCAATTTTTCTTAACTCAAGAATGGGAACGATTTCATCAGGATCATGACTCTGCATGTATTTGGAATGTGCCAACTGTCAGACGTGATCTGAATTTGCTTCGTCATTGGATCATCTCTCCATCAGATCATTTTCCTCACTCTCTTACAGTACATTGTCCTTGTCAATGGCATGAATTATTACAAAAGACTTTCTTAGATGCAGCCATTTTTGAACGTGGCTCTCAACCTGCGGGACAAGTTCTTCGCAACCTTGAACAACAACTTCCTGATCTGTTACGCTCTCAGTATTCGTGGGGGATTGATTTCAAACGCTCTACACTGAGTAAGGGATACATTTTACCCAAACCATCTCGAGGATTCGCCAAGGCTCGTCCTATCGTTGATTACTCTACCGCTTGGTCTCGGAAATTGGGAAGTGCTGTATCCACTGTATTGATTGCCATCCTCAATGCGGTTTTTGGATCTATTTTACAATTTGCGCATGTTCGAGATGTCATTACTGGTATCAGTGCATTATTCTCCATGCAGGATTTTGCAGAAACAGCTTTCTCTTTGCATCAAACAGATATTGCTGGTTTTTACAATCAAGTTGAACATGATCGTATATTGATGGCCATACGGTTTGCCGTCTTTACCTTTGCTTCTCAGTGCGAACAAGGATTAGACACTGTTATGCAATCACATGTTGTACGTTTGGAACGGATTCTTCGTGTTTTTCAAGGATCTTGGAGAGAAAAGACGAAACAATATATGACCGTCACATTGCGTGATATTCCTTGCTTGGTACAATATTTGTTGGATCATTCGTATTTTACGGTCGGGAGCCAAGTATTTCGACAACGTCGGGGTGCCAGTATGGGATCTCAGTTTGCACCTGTGCTCTGTTCTGCAGTTGCACTCCAACGAGAATGGAACTTTGCAAGGTCATTTTCTCCATTTACTTGGGATCGTTCTCTACATCATCGATACGTTGACAATCGTATTTTGTTGATTTCTCGCCATAGTCGAAAGCTATCACATATTCAGGTGTTTTGGAATTTGCAATTTTATTCTGCTCCCATTTTGCTGGAAGTGGTTGCTGGACAGGAGGCATTAGGTTTCCACATTGATACATCACAACAGACTGTCACTTTGGAATTACCGTGGAACAAACCTTTACGATCTACGCGAAGTGCTAGCACTTCTCGTGCTATCCTGAGTGGACTTTATGCTCGATTGCGCCTTATTCGCTTTCATGTTTTTCCAGCTAACATTCAGTTGCACCAAGTTCAAGATTTCCTGGGCCTTATGTATCAACGAATTCCTGAATTTTTCACTGACGCAAATTTATGTCTAATTCAACGCTTTCTTCGTAGTCTTTGGAAGGACCATCCCGTACAATCCTTGATGCAGTGGTGTCGATAAAAAGAGTTTGCCGTGCTTCTTATTGATTTGCCTCTCATACTGAGAGGCCATGTGTGTGTGTACACTGCTAGTAACATGCAGTCTAAATATTGAGTTGCAGGGGAGTGCGGCATGATTGTGGGACCGCACTCAACGAAGCTACCACAATCATGGGATACTGGGTCTGATCAACCCAGCGTACCTGCATCAGAGGATAGCAACCGGCTAAGCTGAGAACCGGAACTAGGTAACTTTGATATAGCATCCGGCTAAGCTGAGAACCGGAATTCATAGTCAAATTCATTTACAAAATTAATTTCAACTTCGACATTTGTGCCTTTTGTCCTTTGATTCATTTCAGGCCATTCAATCAGGAATTGGTGGTGCTCTTTTACTTCTCCTCACTACGCTCGAATCTATATATCCCACAGTGTGTGTGTAAAAGAAAAGCGTGTGTGTGTGTAAAAGCGTCTGTGTGTAAAAGCCTCTGTGTGTGAAAGTGCTTGTGTGTAAAAGCGTCTGTGTTTGGCTCTGACTCGTGACACTAACAGTGACCACAATTCATACCACAAAAAAAGCACAAGAAAAACCAGGTTGTAGTCCCCAATATGACTTTCATTTCCCCTTAACATAGACCCGGGCAAGCCGGCGGCGGAAGTTTCCCAAACATAAATGACCTATAGTTCAAAGACAACCTGTCCCGACCGTGTCCTTCCCTCGACACTCCACACCTCACACCTCACACTGCACACTGCACACTGCACTCTTCGCGCTCCAAACTTCACACTTCACACTCCACACTTCTCACTTCGCACTTCACACTCCACACTTCACAGTCCACACTTCACACTTCTCACTTCACACTTCTCACTTCTCACTGCTTCCTTCACACTCCAAACTTCACACTTCTCACTTCGCACTTCACACTCCACACTTCACAGTCCACACTTCACACTTCTTCACTTCTCACTGCTTCCTTCACACTCCCTTCAACTGAAACTTCACACTTCACACTTCACACTGCGCTCTTCGCACTCCAAACTGAAACTTCACACTCCACACTTCACACTCCACACTTCACACTTCACACTTCTCACTTCTCACTGCTTCCTTCACACTCCAAACCTCACACTTCACACTTCACACTTCACACTGCGCTCTTCGCACTCCAAACTAAAACTTCACACTCCACACTTCACACTTCACACTTCACAGTCCACACTTCACACTTCTCACTTCTCACTGCTTCCTTCACACTCCAAATCTCACACTTCACACTTCACACTTCACACTGCGCGCTTCGCACTCCAAACTTAAACTTCACACTCCACACTTCACACTCCACACTTCACACTTCTCACTTCCCACTGCTTCCTTCACACTTCACACTTCACACTGCACTCTTCACGCCCCACACTTCACACTGCTCTAAACCTACGTGCAACAAAAAACACTAGTGCCAAAATGGAGAAAATCTGCTAACAAATCCATTTCGCAGCCTTCATGCAGCCACTCCAAGACGATTTACGAGATCCAGCTGCAAAAGACAATAGTATTACAAATGCAGCCACAGCACGAAGCAACCTTGACGCAGCCATTGCAATAGGATCTGCAGAGACTGAGTTGCAAAACACAATAGAACTACGCGCAACGGCGTCGGAAATTGTAGCTCCAACGCCAGAGCAGAAAAAGTTGATTTTAAATAGAAAATGAAAGCAGCCAAAATCTGAAAGATCCTTTTTTTTGTCACATGTATGCAATACGATCATGGTTTTTTGTGCGGTTCGTAACAACGCACACAGAAACCACAATTAAGTGACAGAGGCATTCTGCGGTTCGCAACTCTAAATGAAAGGCGAAGCTACTGAAGCACAGCAATTCAGACCCGGATGCGGTTCATAACAACGCACACCCAGCCCTCGGCAGTCAAACGAGAGTTGATCCCTCCTTGCATTTACCCGCTCCCACGACAGCATGTTTTTTTCACATGTATGCAATACGATCATGGTTTTTTGTGCGGTTCGTAACAACGCACACAGAAACCAAAACCAAGTGACAGAGGCATTCTGCGGTTCGCAACTCTAAATGAAAGGCGAAGCTACTGAAGCACAGCAATTCAGACCCGGATGCGGTTCATAACAACGCACACCCAGCCCTCGGCAGTCAAACGAGAGTTGATCCCTCTGCGGCAAGACCTTGTCTGCGCTTCATCTCAGCATCAACAAACTCTGGTTCAAAGGACCGCACAGCTTCCCAGAGATGAAGGTATTGTCTGCGGAGAACTTCGTCGTCCGACTCTTTGTCGTCCAACCACGTACTTGGATGATCTGGGGTTTGCTAGTGACTTAAAGTTTTTAGGAATAGCCTTCTAGTAGCTACCTAAATACCTTTTAAGAACATCCTAAGCATATGCTAACCACTTGTAAGGCTTCTACTTGTGTCAGGAAGTTAACAAGTGTCTAGCTAAAAATTAGCTAAAGTTTCTAAACAACATAATTATGTTAAGTGGTTAGCCATCAGACATGCTAATTATGTTAAGGGAAGATAAATACTTAGCCTCAAAGTTAGCATAGTTAGCTAGGTATTTAGCTAAGTGGTTAGCTAAGTTAGGAAATTAACATTTAGAATAAATTTTCATGTTTTTGGCCCAAAAAACAAATAATTGAAAAAAAAACATTTCCATAAAAAATGCACAAAGTCTTGAAGAAAGCCAGAAGATTCACATTCTTTCAGTGAACCTCGTGAGAACACAAGAGAAAGCAGGGGGAAAAAACATGGAAAACATGTCAGCCATATATAAGCTCAATGACCCAAACAAAGCTCTATACAAGCTCAGAATCTTTAGCCCAAGCAGGCTCTCCTAAAGTTTCAGCTGTTGTTAAGCTCTTTTTCTGTGGACATTGTGCCACAACTTTGCTCTTGGTTTTCAAGGGAACCAAGGCAGGAAAACTTGCTGCTGTTTCTCTCAAGAAAATGTGTTCCCAAGGAACTGCTGCACATGGGTTGAACATTTGGTTAAATTACATGAAATAACCTTAAAGACTTAGCTCCTGCCCTCAAAGGGCACAAGGACACAAATAAAGAAGTAACATGGACACAAGTAAACAGGACAAGATGTAGACAAGACAACAGAAATACACAAGACAGCACAATAAGCAAAGAAGCACCTCATGCCAACACAAGAAAACAGACAGTGACTTTCTGTGACACTGGCTCTAAAGCCATGGCTGGTGCTACATGGAAGGGTGAAGTGGTAAGGGTTCAGCAAGACAGCAGTCTACCCATTACCAGCAGATGCAACCGCATTCTGGAGATCCTGAAGCAGAATGGCCTATGCTACAGACAATGCATTGAGCCAAAGATGATTCTGGTGCATGTGAAGAACAGAGGTGGGCAACTAGTGTCTGTGGCTGATGTGCACAGCAAAGGTGCTGTGATGGCTCAGATTGGTTTCTCCCTGGCCAAAATTGGAGAATCAATTTGTTTTGAATTGCCATCTGCTATGGCAAACAAAGACCAAGTGATAGAGACCAACAGGTCTTTGGCCCAGCTGTCCCAGAACCAGCTGTGTGAGCCACTTGGTTGTGAAAGGTTTGCCTCAGTGTCCAGCAGCCACTTGGTGACTTTCCTGAGGGCAGTGCAGGCTGGCTGCAAGACTACAGAGCCTGAGATCAGCACTGGTGGCTACCTGTCACTGGACTCAATGTGCCAGAAGAAGGATGACTTGAAGGAGATGGCCATTACTGGATGGGAATGGCAGGTGATTGATAGCCAGGTTGGGTCTGCTTGCCCTGGACTTCCACAATTCCTGGCCCAAGCACTGAACTCTGACCATGCTGTTAAAACAACAGCCAATGAGTTGGAAACTGCTTGTAACATTGCAAGCATCTATGAGTTGCAGGCCACCACCTCCAAGGACCTCAAGAAGGCCCAGGAAGCAGCTATGGCTTCTAGACCAGCCTGTGCCAATTACATTGCTGCCATCACTGCCTTTGTGAAGCAGTTCACTGGTGGTGACGCGTTTCCTTTGCTGAAGCTACTCCAGTCCATTGGTCTCTCAGCTGCAGCTAGACTGTTAGCCAGCCATAGCAAGCTCCTCCAAAGCAGCCATCAGAGGCTCCTTACCCAATTAGTTGGTTTGTTCCTTGAACTTGTTGCTTTACCAAAGCCATTTGCCCATACTGAGGCAAACAATATGGTGGTTCTACAGTTTGGGGCCAGGAATTTACTGAATTGCTGGCCTACACTGACTTCAAGTGCCCAACTACCACCTACCCTTGGATTCGGTTGGCAATGGCAGCCTGCCACATGTGTGCTCCCAAGCAATACATTAGAGATGGCATCTCCAGGCTGCTGACCTCTGCAGATTTTTCCAAGCTGAAGCAGAAAGGAGTGGCTGTGCAATTGGCAGCTGCTGAGAAGCTTCTGAATGAAGCTTGGGCTTTGTGTGGTCAAAGTTCACTTACCTTGGGCCAGCAAGCTCAGCCCATGGGCCGATACTTGACCAGGTTGGCTTTGTTCCTGGTTGGCAAAGGTTCTAAAGGCCCTGAAGGAAAGAATTACAGGCAGTTTGAAGACATCACAGATCTCTTCACTCAAGAGCTGATGAACATGAAGGCACATGGCTCCATGGACTTGGCAGAGCAGTTGCCATCCAGCAGTGCCAGTGTAGACAAAGCAGTGCAGCCAACTGCTTTGGAGGCAAGGTGTTTGATCAAATTTGCTTTTTACTGGTGTATATAGCAACCCTGTCACCATTTGGCCCTGCAGGCTAATTCAGACCCTGCCCTCATTGCATTGGCGCACTTCAAGAATTTGGAAGTGGGAAAACACTACACCTTTGCCACAGATCCTCTGAAGGTGTACAAATTCGAAAGCATTGGTGCCACCACAGCTGTGCTTCTACACAAACCATTTTTTTGGTGCCCTTGAGAAATTAGAAGTGGAACACAAGGACTTGAAAGGCTTGAGGGCTTGGGAAAAGTCAGTTCCCAGTTTGCAGCCAGCTGCCACCCTGACTGCCTTGCAGCCCAGTGCTTGCTTGATGGCTGAGTTTGGAAGGGCCAAAGCCCAACATTGGCTCTACCAGAAGTACCATGAGCACCTTGGAATGATATTGGTAAAATTTTACCTGCTGTGGTGAGCCCTTTTTGTGTGTGGAGACTGATAACTTCTGACACTTCTTGCAGAGCCAGGCTGGGTGACTTCAATGTTGTGGTGTCCACTACTTCCCAGCTCTTTGCCAACTCCAAGTTCAACAAAAACGATTTGGTGTTGCTTCCACTTGGCCAAGTGGTTTTACAGAAAAAGGAAAAGATCAAGAAGAGTTCTGTTGTGCTTCAGATGGCTGGCTGGAAATTTGAAGAAATTTTGGCGGTGACACATACCAAGTGCAACTTTGAGAAGAAGAGTGGCCACTGGTGCCCATTCTATTGGTGCAAAGAGGCCAAAGATGACAAGGACAAAGATGATGCTACCTGTGAGAAAGCCACCTTGACCAGAGCGACTGTGAAGCACCATGAGCTGACCATTCCTTGCCTGAAGAACAAGGTGGCCCTGCAGATTGGATCCCCATTGCTGGTTGAGTTTCAAGAGGAAAGCAAGAAGAAGAAGAAGAAATCCAGAGACTGAGGCATTGAAAGCTGTTTTCCCAAGAAAGTGTTTGCTGCCTAAAACAAGCTGTAGGAAGCTTCAGCACCTAAGACTTTACAGAAAGCTCTTGCATTGTTAGCCATCAAAGGCTTTTTTTAATCACAAGCTATAGAACGCTTTTATGTGAAAAGCTTCTGCCTTCAAAGCTATACAAAGCTCAAGCCAAAGGTGTTGTCAAAAGAAATGCTTCAGAGGTTTCATGCCTCTTGTTTGGCAGGCATTATTCCTCAAGTGTAGCAGAGTGCTAGCTTAGCCAGCCATGGTGGACATCTCAGAGAAAGTGGTCCTCTCCTACAAAGGTGTTAATAAGGCTGTGGTGCCAGACAACCTGGTATCTGTTGGTCCTGATGGAAGGAAGTTTCTGAAGATACAGGGCAGCCATCCCCTGGTGTGCAGGTTGGTGGCAGCAGACAACCTGGAAGCTTTGAAGACCTGCAAGAACCCTAGCCTTTGCCAGGGAGATGCTTTTGATTCTTTGAGGAAGAAGCAAGAAGAGGCTTTGCACAAAGCCTTGTCTGAGGCAAAGGAGGAGGAAGATAAGGAGAAGGACTTGTTCAAGGTTGAGAAGCATCCCAAAAAGAAGCTCAAGCTTTCCAGTGGTGAACTTAGATGGCAATGACATTGAGGTCCTCAAGCCCAGAACTTGGAAGGACAAAGGTGTTTCTGTTCTGCTGGACTCCAGCATGCTGGCTGTCACTTTTGATTTCTTGGCCACAGATGTGGACACCTGCTTCAAAGATGGCAACAAGAGAAGTTACAGAAAGAAAGGTGGCAAGAACGATGAAGATGAACTTCACAACAAGTAAGCACTTCCTTGTCCTGATGCAGAGAGGAAAAACGTATCTTGTTGCTCTTTGCTCAATGCTTGAGCTTCAGAAGCCCTAACATAGGCTGAAATTTACTAGCCCTCTGAAAGCTTAGTTGCTCTAGCCCTGTTGCAGGCTCATTCCAATTAGCCATTTAGAGGCTCAAAATAAGTAGCCTTGAGTAAGCTCATTGCATGGCTAGCCCTTGGAAGGCTCATATAATACTTAGCCCCAAGGCCCATGGACCAATTAGCTTTGATCAGGCTCATTGCATGTACTAGCCCTTGGCAGGCTCACTCTTAAATAATAGCTGTTTGAAAGCTCTTTTTTTTGATTAGCCCATAGCAGGCTCAGTTTTTTAAAGAATTCCAGTGTTTTTTTTACTTGCCCTCCAGGGGATCAGCTCATTCATATGGGCCCATGGCTGTGTTTGGTTCAAGCTCAAAGTGCTGAGTAAAGACACTACTGGTGTGACAATGGGCACCACAGAGGATGAGTTTGACTATGCCTCTTGGGCCAATGAGTTGACAGAAGCTCATGAGGCTCAAGAGGCTGAGAATGAGTGGTACCAGAAGAAGCTGGAGGACCCATTTTGGCCAAAGTGTTTTAAAACCATGAGAGAGATGGGGTTGATCACTACCCTGTGGCAGGATGAGAGTGCTTCGACTGCATCGCGCCTCCACTTCATCATTTTTTAACTGACCCATTAGAGTGCTGCGACTGCATCGCGCCTCCACTTCATCATTTTTTTAACTGACCCTAAAAATATGTGGGATTTGTTTTTAATACATTCTTCCATGGCGAGCCATCCTTAGGAAGCACCAGATGATGTGCCAACTTTGGCTGCTCCAGTGGTACCTGTGGTTGAAGGTGTGCCCACTGGGCCTGTGACGACTGTGGGTGGACAGCAGTATGAGGAGGTGCACTTGGAGAAGGCTGACTTTAAGGTGCTAGAGTCCAAGCCTAAAGCCAAACTACCACAACCATCTGCTGGACTTAAGGGTGCTATGAGGCCTCCTGAGCCTAAAAATCCTCCCTCCAAGAGGCAGAAGGTGGAGACTGACACGAAGCAGCTCTTCTTGAGGCATGGAGCGGTGAAGCCCAAGGTGGAGGAGGAAGAGGATGTGCCACTGAGCAGTGACCAGATTGCCAACAGAATCTTTGCTGCTCTTGTTCCTTGGCTGTGCTTTTTCCCAAAAGCATCTTCGATGCTTGGGTTCTCGTTTAGTTGTTTAACCGCGTGGGGGAGCGACCTCGCTTGAACGGTGGTGTGCGGACGGCGTGGGTGCAAGGGAAAGGAAAGGAAAGGAAAGGAAAGGAAGGGAAAGGAAAGGAAAGGAAGGGAAAGGAAAGGAAAGGAAGGGAAAGGAAGGGAAAGGAAGGGAAAGGAAGGGAAAGGAAGGGAAAGGAAGGGAAAGGCAGGGAAAGGAAGGGAAAGGAAGGGAAAGGAAGGGAAAGGAAGGGAAAGGAAGGGAAAGGAAGGGAAAAAGGGAAAGGAAGGAAAGGAAGGGAAAATGGGAAAGGAAGGGAAAGGAAGGGAAAGGATTTGGATGGTGTCTCGGTATAAACCATTACAGGAGTCCCTCTCATGTATGTAAACACCGATACATGCATCTGTATGTATATGTATATATACATATATATATATTTATAAATAATTACACAAACAATAACAAAAAATCAATGCAAAGAACAGCAAAAGTGTGATTTGTATAATGAGTATTGGCATTTGTGCATGATTGAGTCAAGGAAGGGACAGGTGAGAAGAAGCCGCTGGTGATGAGCGACCTTGGCTGCGCGGACGGCTGCGGACGGCAAATGGGTGCGGAGAACTGCGCGGATGGCTGCGGACGGCGTGGGTGCAACGGGGTGGCTGGAAATGGGTGGGGAGAAGAAGCCGCTGGTGATGAGCGAGCTTGGCTGCGCGGACGGCTGCGGACGGCTGGGTGTGGAGACTGCGTGGACGGCTGCGACGGCTGCAACGGAGTGGCTGGAAATGGGTGGGGAGAAAACCGCTGGTGATGAGCGACCTTGGCTGCGCGGACGGCTGCGGACGGCAAATGGGTGCGGAGAACTGCGTGGACGGCTGCGGACGGCGTGGGTGCAACGGAGTGGCTGGAAATGGGTGGGGAGAAGAAGCCGCTGGTGATGAGCGACCTTGGCTGCGCGGACGGCTGCGGACGGCAAATGGGTGCGGAGAACTGCGCGGACGGCTGCGGACGGCGTGGGTGCAAGGGGTGGCTGGAAATGGGTGGGGAGAAGAAGCCGCTGGTGATGAGCGACCTTGGGTGCGCGGACGGCTGCGGACGGCAAATGGGTGCGGAGAACTGCGCGGACGGCTGCGGACGGCGTGGGTGCAAGCGACCTTGGCGTGCGCGGACGGCTGCGGACGGCAATGGGTGCGGAGAACTGCGAGGACGGCTGCGGACGGCGTGGGTGCAAAGGGGAGTGGCCTGGAAAGTGGAAATGGGTGGGGAGGGGGAGAGAAGAAGAAGCCGCTGGTGATGAGCGACCTTGGCTGCGCGGACGCCTGCGGACGGCAAATGGGTGCGGAGAACTGCGCGGATGGCTGCGGACGGCGTGGGTGAAACGGAGTGGCTGGAAATGGGTGGGGAGAAGAAGCCGCTGGTGATGAGCGACCTTGGCTGCGCGGACGGCTGCGGACGGCAAATGGGTGCGGAGAACTGCGAGGACGGCTGCGGACGGCGTGGGTGCAACGGAGTGGCTGGAAATGGGTGGGGAGAAGAAGCCGCTGGTGATGAGCGACCTTGGCTGCGCGGACGGCTGCGGACGGCAAACGGGAGTCGCGGAGAACTGCGCGGACGGAACGGCTTGCGGACGGGTGGGTGCAAACGGGGTGGCTGGAAATGGGTTGAAGGGAAGAAGCCGCTGGTGATGAGCGACCTTGGCTGCGCGGACGGCTGCGGACGGCAAATGGGTCCGGAGAACTGCGCGGACGGCTGCGGACGGCGTGGGTGCAAGGGGGTGGCTGGAAATGGGTGGAGAGAAGAAGCCGCTGGTGATGAGCGACCTTGGCTGCGCGGACGGCTGCGGACGGCAAATGGGTGCGGAGAACTGCGCGGATGGCTGCGGACGGCGTGGGTGCAACGGAGTGGCTGGAAATGGGTGGGGAGAAGAAGCCGCTGGTGATGAGCGACCTTGGATGCCGGAGGTGCGGACGGAAAATGGGTGCGGAAACTGCGAGGACGGCTGCGGACGGCGTGGGTGCAACGGGGTGGCTGGAAATGGGTGGGGAGAAGAAGCCGTGGTGATGAGCGCTTGGTGATGAGCGAAGCCAGCTGGTGATGAGCGGACTTGGCTGCGCGGACGGCTGCGGACGGCAAATGGGTGCGGAGAACGGCGTGGACGGCTGCGGACGGCGTGGGTGCAACGGAGGGTGGCTGGAAATGGGGGGAGAAGAAGCCGCTGGTGATGAGCGACCTTGGCTGCCGCGGACGGCTGCGGACGGCAAATGGGTGCGGAGAACTGCGCGGACGGCTGCGGACGGCGTGGGTGCAACGGAGTGGCTGGAAATGGGTGGGGAGAAGAAGCCGGTAGTGATGAGCGACCTTGGCTGCGCGGACGGCTGCGGACGGCAAATGGGTGCGGAGAACTGCGCGGACGGCTGCGGACGGCGTGGGTGCAACGGAGTGGCTGGAAATGGGTGGGGAGAAGAAGCCGCTGGTGATGAGTTAACTTGGTTCAAGAGCTATACTCTGTAGAGGGCCTAGAGGGTATATACGTATATACATATAGCTCCCGCATTTATTTGCAACATATATGGGCAATCTGTGTCACATATGCCCCCACATTTTTTTCACAAATGCGCAAATGTCCGTAAGATCTGATTTTGTGTAAATAAGATCTTACGGACATATATTTTATGTCCGTAAGACCTTATTTACGTAAAACAAGATCTTGAAGCTTAAATGAAAGATATGTAATACATAAATGTAATGTATATGTAATGCAAATGCAACTGCAAATGTATTCACAAATGTCCACATGGATATATGTATATGATCATGTCCACCTGTACTCTACAGAAACCTGGCCCACATAGCTCTTGAATCAAGATAAGTGATGAGCGACCTTGGCTGCGCGGACGGCTGCGGACGGCAAATGGGTGCGGAGAACTGCGCGGACGGCTGCGGACGGCGTGGGTGCAACGGA